GGCTACTCACCTTCTCCCTGGTGCAGTTTCACCACTTGCCTCTTTGTTTTCCTCTCTCCAGAGTGAGCTGGAGATGGTGGACCACCTTGCAAACACAGAGATCAACAGCCAGCGCATTGCTGCTGTGGAAAACTGCTTTGGGGCTTCTGGGCAGCCCTTAGCCTTGCCGGGCAGAGTCCTCCTGGGAGAAGGGATTTTAACCAAAGAATGCCGCAAGAAACCAAAGCCTCGCATATTTTTCCTTTTCAACGACATCCTGGTCTACGGCAGCATCATCATCAACAAAAGGAAGTACAACTCCCAGCACATCATCCCCCTTGAAGATGTCACTCTGGAGACGCTGCCAGACACCTTGCAGATGAAGAACCGCTGGATGATCAAAACCTCCAAGAAGTCCTTTGTGGTTTCCGCAGCCTCCCTGACGGAGAGGAAGGAGTGGATCAGCCACCTGGAGGAGTGCATCAAGCACCTGCTGACCAAGACGGGCCGGCAGCCCTGCAGGGAGCCCGCGGCCCCCTGGATCCCAGACAAGGCCACGGACATCTGCATGCGCTGCACGCAGACCAAGTTCTCCACGCTCACCCGCCGGCACCACTGCCGCAAGTGCGGCTTCGTCGTGTGCGCTGACTGCTCCAGGCAGAGGTTCCTGATGCCCCGGCTGTCCCCCAAGCCCCTGAGGGTCTGCAACCTGTGCTACAGGCAGCTGCTGGCAGAGAAGAAGAAGGAGGCAGAGGCGGATCGGAGGCAGCCGGAGCCGATCCACTCTGCCATCCAGGGCTACGAACCCTCCAGCGGCGATGACAGCGACAAGTCTGACGATGAGAAAGCTGAGCAGTGGCCAGCAGACACAGAGTTTTATACCTCACAGGTATCTTGGTCATCTTTCCACAGCTGACCTCCCTGGGAACTGGTCGTGTTTACCCACTGGGAATCCAACCTCTGGCATCCAATGCATGTCCTTTTTGATGTCTTCTCTGAAGGCCATGCCTAGGATGGTGGATCTTGGCCCCTGTGTGTGGTGTCAGAGCTGAGACAAGGTTTTCCCTCTGAGAAGGTCTAATACAATGTGAGCACAGAGAGAACAGCTCAGTGAAGAGCACTGAGGAGTGGGGCAGCGCCCTGTGGATCAGTCTTGACCAAATGAGCTCACCTTCAGTGCCTTATTCTTTCTCTCTGCTAAAACATTTCTTGTTTGAAATGTTTTGAGATTGGCTCTTGGGAGGAAAAGCAGCATGAAATCCTGGAGTTGAACACATTGGCCTGCCCACTGTGTGTTCCTCTGTCACAGCAAGGGCCACTCTGGATGTCACTTTCCATGAGCATTCTGAGATTCTCACTGCAAGTGTGCCAGGCTGAGGGAATAGCTGCTCATCCCTGCACAGTACTGCCAGCACCGGATTCCATCTTCTCAAGGTTGGAAACACTAAGAGAATGGTATTTTGAATGCAGGGAGCTTGTGTGGGGCTCAGTGTGAGCAGTGCTAGCAAAGCACTGGAGAATCCAGTCTCTCACATGGAAAGAGGCCATGCCAGTGGTACTGGGCCAGGAGGAGAAAGGAGAGGGGAAAGGGACAGGGAAAATTACAGTGAGCAGTGAAATAAGGAGGGAGAGAGGTACTGCCGTTCACTCAATTGAGTGCAGACCCAAATCTCAAACACAGCAGTTATACCAGACTACTAGAAACTTGAAAATCTCAAACCTATCAGGTAAAGACAGCCCAGGGAAGACTTGTTAAAAGTCTGTAAAAATCCAGGAAAAAGCCTCAAATTAAGATCCTGTGAAGTACAGCACTTCAGCTTTCCCTTCCCTCCTGAGCTGCTGCCCAAGGCATCAGATTCTCACTTGTAGGCTCACCTCCTGCCTTATCAGTCTCACTAGTCCAAAGTTAAGATCCTTTATGTACTTCAAGGATGGGAGCCAAAGACTTTACAGTTTACTTGAGATCAACTTTAAAGTTCAAATTCAGTTAGAAATTAACTGTGTTTATTCAAGTATTCTATCATAATGTAGAATGGGAGTAAATATAGAGGAAATCAGACAACAGCAATTGTTTTGCAGCAGACATTTCTACAAACTCCGTTATTACTTCTAGTATATTTTTGTATTGTGTATTTTGTGGTCTGGAAAAGCAACATGTCTGGGAATACACTGCCAATGTTTTAAAATGTTTCCTTACCACAACCTGTTACAAGCAGTGAATTGCTTGGCAGATGGCCATATGTTTTTTTAAATTTCAGTTCAAGATAATTATTCTTACTGTCTTTTATAAACTGCTCCTGTTCCAGTGAATTTGTATCAATTGACTGTGTGTGAATAAAGATATGGCCAAAAGGAAGGAGCCAGGAAAATAGGATAATAAAGCATGTTATTATTGAACAAGGGTCTTAACAAGAGCTGGGATCCAGGCCTAGCCAGCCCAGCTCAAGTGGTGACTCCTCAGCTGAGAGAAGACTGCTCTGGTTTCTGTTTACTGCTGGAAGGTAAGGGCATCAAATCTGATGCCTCCTTTCTATTTATACCATGCTGTTGTCTGACAGGCTTTCCCCAAGTCTCCTGCAATCCCCTGCAATAGTCTGTATTAACTGGAACGGGATTTTTCCGGTGGGGACGCAGCTCAGAGTGGGCCAGCAAACCTTATGACCTAAGCAGATGTTTTTGGGCTTTAAAGCAATAAGTACACTGAATTCTGTTTTTTCCATCCCTCTCCAGGTTTAGTTCCTAACTCTGCACAGCAGCGATTGTTTTTACAATGCCTCCCACCCACCAGAAGGGTGTACATGCTATGCAAACAGAAAACGACCTTAAAAATAAACAGCCATTAGCTGTTCACAAGCCAAAAATAGCCCAGCTGCTGAATCTGCATCCAGTCAGAAATGTACTGAAGGTTGGAACCTAATCCTTAGTTCTGTTAGAGCTCAGCTTACTTTGCGTGTTCAAAGGTCTTACTACTGCCAGCCCTAAAGACCTATGAACTGCTTTTATGCTCTAATGAGGGACAGGCATGCCTCTAAAGAATGCCTTCTTGGTGAGGAAAAGCTTTTCTTAATCACAACAGCAGTCAGAAAAAAACAAACCACCAAAAACAACCCAGCCCCTTTTTCTGATGCACACTGCTGATGGCTCTTGGGGAAATGCACACATCTTCCACCAACTTGAAGCCCCAAGAAACCAAGCAATTCTTAAATTTTTAATGCCTATGGTAAAAGGATTGTGCCCAGGAAAACATGGGGAAATTTAAATACAGCCTCTCCCCCACTTCCTGAACTTCTGTTGCAGAGCTCAGCACTGGGATTAGAGCCTGGGGCTCCTGGCTTCTGGCCTGCTGAACACATGGGTTTTAAATCACAGGCTCTGTGCTGTTACAGTCCAGCCTGCAGTTTTCCAGCCTGATTCTATCTCCAGTGCATTAATAAGGCATTTCCTGATAATTTGTGCTCTATTTTAGCTAAATAAAGGCCTTACCAGAGATTCATTCCAGCTTGCAGCCCCACATGGGCAGGAAGAGCAGCAGCTCCAGTGTTCACCTTGGGAAACATCTGCAGGCTGGAGGGTTTGTGGGGTCACAGCTCTTCCTGAAGGGCTCCCAGACATGAACTGTGGGGGTCATGTGCCAGAAGAAGTTCCTTTTCCAACCCCTGCCTGAAGGTGTCACAGCCCAAAGGGCACTGCAGGGTGAGGGTGTCCCCATTGCACACCATCCTCTTCTGCTCTCCAAAGCTGGTTAGAAGGGGAGGAAGAGGATGGCACTGCTGCAGCAGCCAGTCATGAAAACTTAAAAGAAGGTATTAGGGAGATTTGCTCTGCAGATAAACTGAAAGGATCGAAAAGGTTCAAGGAAAGCTGTGTGTTCTGCTGTCCCAAGGCGCAGCTCAGGCACACCCCACCAGCTCCCAGCACAGTGCTGACTCAGCATTCACAAGCACTCAGGAGGGAGAAGTGAGCCAGCTGCTCTAACCAAGTCTTGCTCCCAGTTACTCAAACACTCAGTTTCTATCCAAGCTGGATTTCTGCCTCTGCCACAGCTCACAGCCTCTTCCAACTCACTACTGCTGCTGGGCAGTTTCTCATGTTCCTCACTCTGCCTGGGTTTTTGATTAGGAGGAGGAGCTGAGGAGTACATACAGTACCAGCTGCTGAGCTGGGACAATCCTGAGCTGTAAAGTGGGGTCTCCTATGAAAAGTAGAGGCTTCTGTTTCTCACCCTTTCTGCTCCAGGCCATGGACCTTTAAGAATGGTGCTGGCAGGAAGATGTTACACTGTTGTACCATCCATGGTGGACAAAAAACAGCTGCAAGAAACCCTTGCCCAAGACCTGTGTGCTGGAGATGGTGTCCAGGGCCCCCAGAGAGGAGCACAGGCAGCACACCAGGGTGTAAAGCACTGCAGGGCAATCCCAGCCAGTCTGTTTTATGTACACAGGCAGGAACAACCCCAGTGCCATGCAGGTGCTTGAGAGGGAGCTTCTCCTGCCTGTGACCTGGTTCATAAAACCACACGCAGCCAATGCTGTGGTCCTGTGCTGCAGGTGGGGCAGAGGAGGCAGGCATGGAGGTGCTGTGAAGTGCTGGTGAACCCCCAGCAACACCAAAGCTGGCATTTGACTTCAGTTCCACTGAAGGCCAGAAATGCAAAGAAGCAATGAGCAGGTTTTCTGTAAACCTCTTACGGAGAGGTTCATGGCTCAGAGTGAGCTACACAACCTCCCAGTCTGTTACTGTAGGGAGAGAGAGAAGAAGGAGGAGGGCAGCTAGAGAAAAGGTTTTGCTTTAGCAAAGCTCCAGTGCACAGCACCTTCTGTTGCACACACCCTGGGGCAGAGCATCTTCTGCTGGCTGCCATCCTGCTGCCTGTGATCTGCTGCCCAGACTGCCCCATGCAGCAAGGGATTACTGAGCTTTGGCCAACCTCTCCATTTTTAAAATCATAAACACAATGTGTTTTGGTAACAGCCTATGGAAAAAATGGATTTGAGCAGGAAAAAGCATTAACTCAAGGCCAGACACATCTCTTTCCCTCTAACAGCAACAAGAAAAATATTCACGTTTTTTTTACAGGAAGAGTTCCACATAAGGTAAAACCAGAGCTTCAGTGGCTTCACATAGAAAGGATTTCCAGAGTGCTTTCAGGAGTGGCATCCACAGATGGCTCAAACAGCTCCAATAGTGGGGTGAGAGCCAGAACGAACGCACAACCCAGAGCCACCAGCACCCAGCTCAGCTTCCTGGCTTCCATCAGAGCCTCTGACTTGATGAGTGCGCAGCAGCAAGTTCAGGCAAACTAACCCGAGTCTCTAGATCCTCCCCAAAATGTCCTTGGGCACAGCTGTTTCCTGTTTGATCCCTATGGGTGGTGTTCACAGCCCAGGAGTGTCTCTCCTGCTGCCGCAGGGCTTTGCACACCTGTGGCAGCCCTCTGGGGCTGGCCCACAGCATGCTGCCCTGCACAGCTCCCTGGGCACAGGGAGCCCCACAGCACCTGCAGGGCTGTCTCCTGTGGGGAGAGGCTGCCTTGAGGGGCTGGCAGGATGCAGCTGCTCTCCCTGACGCTCCCATGCACAGCTGTCCACAGTGCCCAGCGCAGCAGCGATGCCGTGCATTGGCCCTGCTGCACAGGGGCCTCTGCAGCACAGCTCTGCTGGGGCCCAGGGAGGGCGATGCCTCCCCCAGAGCTCAGCAGAGGTGCCTGCTGCCAGGGTGCGAGGCTGCAGCTGCATTTGCTCGCTCACCAACACCGGGCTGGAGGCAGGTACAGCCCCTGCAGGCTGAGCAGGCCCCGCTGTCTGCACCGGTCCCACAGGCACTCGGGATGTCACACTGCAGCCATCTGTCTGCAAGGAAGCAGCTCTGATGATGGGAGGCTCTACAAAATCCATTGGCAAAGAGCTGTTAATCTGGGGAGGATGACAAATGGAGCCTGTCACACTTGGCTTCTTTAGGACTTAACAGTACTGCTGCTGCTCCCTATAATACCACATTTGGAGGTGTGTTGCCTCCAGGAAAACGGGATGTGGAATGCAGCTGGTGTAGCCCTGGAGCAGGGGCAGCCCTTTCAGCACACCCTGGAGCCTAAGGACAGCCCTCTGGAGCAGCAGCAAGGAAGCACCCCTCTCACCAGCTGCCATCCTCCCACCAGCTGCCATCCTCCCTCTCTCCTCAGGGACACCCAACAGCCAAAGCCCAGCCACGGCTGTGTCACAGAAGGGATCCAAAAGGATGTGTTTGTTGGTGGAGACCTTACAAGTTAGAGCTCCACAGAGCTTCCCCACTTTTCAGCACCCTCACCCTTCGGGAGAACCACCTGGGCAGAGCAGGAAGAGTGGGGGAGCCCCCAGCACTGGAAATGCGGCTCCCTTGGGAAATGGGGAAAGGGTCCTGTGCTGGAAGCTGGCAGAGGGGCTGGGCATTGCCACAGTCTTTTGACAGGCTGCTCCAGAACAGGTGTGGCTTTAACAGCTCTGTGGAGGCTCATCACCTCCTGTCCAGCTCTGCCTCGCACTCAGAGCACTGGAACCTTCTCCTCCTGCTCATCTTCCCCACCAGAACTTGCCTCTGGAGGCTGGATTTTCCTGGGGCCAGCTCATCCAGCTACACTGGGACAAGGCTGCAGCGGGCAGAGCCTCCCTCCCAGCTGTACCAGCCCTGCACAACAGGCACCTCTGTGAGCTGGAGACTTCCCTGGCTGCATGTTTAGCAATGACAGCAAGACAGGGGAAGAGAAGGACCTTGTTTAATATATATAAATATATATATATAGAGAGAGAGAGAGACAGAGAGATACCACAAAACAAAGCAACACCATGACCAGATCTTAATATAAATTCCACTTTCAAAGGGTGTGAATAAAGATTTCCCTCTTTAAAATTATGGCCTAGTGCTTTGGGTTCTGGAGCCTTGAAGACATTTTCTCTGTGGTGCAAGTAATAAAGGCATTTGGCTTAATTTTTAAGTTGGTATTGCAATTTTGAAACCATGATTGCAACTGATTGCAACTCATAGACCTGGAGAGGTCAGGCCCTCTGCTTAATCACTTGTTTGTACATGGGAAAGCAATGTGAGAAGAAGGCTCCACTCCTGAGCAGAATAAAAGACACAAAGGCAAATGGGCAGGTCTTCTCTAGCACAGGAAACCCCTTTTGTACAACACAGAAAATGCCACACTTTTTTCAGAGTGCGATTGCTTTGGCAGTTCTATATTGGGTTTTACTCACAGTAGCACATGTGTTGGCACAGCACTGCAGGAACTGGGAGAACATGAAAGCAGTCTTACTAACCCAGAGCCAGAGTTCACCAGATTCATCCCAAAATCATGAGGGACAGCATTGAAGAGGCACCTACAGAGCAATACTGC